ATACCATCACATGCATCAGGCGCCAACAGCCGACACCTGCACTGGCAGAACGACGCAGCAGCGCCCGCCGTACTACCAAACAGGCAGTGAGGCGAACGAGGCACGATGTGCGTTGTTCCGGCTGTCCTTTCGCAAACGATAGCACTGGCTCGTACGTAATGGCGGCAGAGGATTGAAACCGGGTCTTGAAATTGCACCACTTCTGAGGCTAGTATCGATCGCAGCGATGCGTGATCTTCAGCTCTGACGAGGTAGTTTGACGTCATTAATGAGTGGTCTTCCGTTGACATCGTGGACAGACATAGAGGACGGAACACGAAAATGCCACCGACAACCCCGAATCCATCCGCTGCCGTTTCAGTTTGAGCGAATCATCAATTTTCACACCTCGTTTAATAGGTAGTAGACCGTGACTTATTGACGTCATACTCGGTGCTCTTGAATTCGCGTTAATTACGGCCTTCTTTGAATGCAACTTATTTCCTCATCCCATTACTGGCAGCGCTTTGTTTCCGGTATTGATGACTAACGTAACGAAGTTCAAATCTGGGTGTGTGTAGGGCCGGCGGGGGGAGGAGGTGGCAACGGACTATCTTATGTGTAGTTAACTACCGTAGTCTCGCAAATTCGTCTTGCTTTCTAGATCTGAAGATACAGCGAAGGGGAATAAGCATTTATGTATAGGTATAAAATTTAAGCATTTGCACCGAAATCTTTTATTTTCTTTTGTGATAGAGAGAAACGTTTTTGTGGTAACATGTACGATTTATTTGCTGTATTTTTGTCCATGTGATCAACTGCATGGATGGCCCGTGTCCATCTCACCCTTCCGGCACGTTGCGCAACCGTGATCTTGTCACCGACGTTTAGTTCAAGAAATTCAGTCATCTTTTTTTGCCAGTCGTACTGGGACTATGGTCCTGCAGAGAAGGGAGGAAATTCTTCATTCGCAAACATTAGTGAAGTAATCTTCTCCTTGCTAGGTCAGTACGAAACGACCTGTTCAAACAGTGCCACCGAAAAGGTCAACAGATTTTAAACTAATAATTTCTCGCTTCGTAAACTAAGATATGAAGAAAGATATGTAAGAAGGCCCCGCCATCACTGATCAACAAAGTTTCAGCAATAATCAGTTCGCGTTTTGTTATCTTCAGACAGCGAGCAGCTGAATGGCTGTGCAAGTCGCTTTGCTTCACCGTTTCTAAGTAGACGACTTCGAAAACTTTGCAACAGTCGGGGGGGATGTGACTCCCTCTACGCTTTCGTGAATGAGCGCCATCTGGGGCACCGGTGTTTCTTTTATGAAGTTAATTGTGAGGAACAAATCTTCGTTTCTGCCCATCAATAGTACCCCATCTTGTTGTACTTATTTTCATAAGCTATGTACAGCTCTGCAGCTCCGTGACCATTGCAGCGCGTGACGTCTTGCTTCCTTTCTACTAAGCGGAATCCGCAAGAGAAAGAAACGCGAGCGATGCTAATGGGGCTTGACCTGAATCCAGAACTTGTCGGTTTTGAGTCGAACGCTTTATAGACGAGTAGCCTCCTCCAAGATTTTACAAACATCGCGTTAGGAACGAGAAGCGAAAGCAGAATCTGTCTGACATGAAATATTGGAAAGAGAGGGAAAATTTGTAGCCTTTGGGATGTCGGTCTTCCTCGTTTTCATAAAGGGATCATTTCTGGCGTCCTTTTCTCATGAAGTTAATTGTGGGGCGCTGTTCTCCACGAACATTTTCATGCCATCAATCAAAAAGGCTTTATTTATAAGGTAGAATTTTTCTGCTATCTAGCAAACATAGTGTGTAGTCTCCTGCTTCCTTCCCAGTACAGCGTGGTACTCGTGGAAGAAAGGCGAGTTACTCCGACGGGCTTGAACCGGGAGCCTTTTGGTTTTGATGACTCTCGACCGACTAAGCACTTCGGTCTGAAGCAATGTGTGGTAAACTCCTTGCGCAAGGGAATAAGACAGAGGTCGCAGTGGTGCGGAATTGACTCCGGCACCTGTGAAACATCGTGCGAACATGCCAACAATGAACGGATGGCGGGTGCAATACGTTCTGGGCAGACTATCAAACAAGGGACCATGACTGGAACTCATCATCGAATTTTATGATGAGGACAATCGGAAATACCTCAGTGATGTGCATGTAATTTGTCCTCCTTCGGTGTTTCGTTTCCGTCTGCTGAACGACACTAGTCACTGTGTCCTGTTTACCTGTTGGCGGCTTCTTTAAGACCTTCCGGTGCTGTCCTGCCGCGACGATGAAAGTCGAACATGGGCATCGTTTGGGATTCGTTCGGTCCTTGTGATGGCTAGAACATCTCTTCCAAAGGTCGACGCTGGCGTATTAAAGCTTGATTACGCCAGAAGCATCCGCTGTCTACTGGCTGATTCGCCGGTTCTGCAAAATTGATAGCCGCATTGGCAACAGGTGATCAGTTGTTGATCACCGCGTCTGTCGTTGCTATTCTTCGGCGACTGCGGGGGGTGGGACGGTGAGGGGCAACGTTTTTCTTCTGTCATAAACAAACGCTCACTTTCGAACCCAGTTATTGATTGTAGTCGGACAACCTGTCCCATGGACGTGAAGTACAAGAGGCACCTTCTATAAGCCGTCCTTTGAATAAACCGTCAAAACTTAATTATTTAGCAAAGTGGCAGTGCTCAACTCAAAATTAATTGGTTCCGTTCAGAAGTCAGATATAAATAGCATTGGTAGCGGTATGGGGAGGAGGCAGTAGTTTCTTCGAGATCCTCGAAAATAAGGCTGTTTCTAATAAATCTCAGATCTTGTAACTTCGACTAGCTGTTAACTGACCGGTAAGCAAGCGGCTATTAGACAAACCTTTAAATCTGAATGATTTAACAAAGTTTCAGTTGTCAGCTCAGTTCACTGATGCTGCTCAGTACTCTAAAAATAGTCGGGAGCTGCTAATTCTACTGGACAGAGGCTTCACCCTTAACCTAAACACTTGTGACCGAAGACAGCGCTGATAGGGTAACCACGTATCACATGATTAGTGTAATAATAGTGAAGTCAACTAGGTATGATGATCTTACAATGACTAGATATGATTACCCAAAGAAATGGCACATATTAATCCCGGTTTGCTCAGCGGAATGATTGCGCAAGCAAGCTTTGTCAGACCACTTGGTGCAATGTAGATTTTGGTAATGGTATTCACTTTCGTGATCCCTTAGCAGCAAACCGGCGAATGGTCACGAAGAACCTATATGCAAATTGGAGTCTGATGGCGGGCATGGCCATTAGGACAACTGATGAAAGTCCTTGAAAAAAATCCTCTGACAGCATGGCCCCCTTGACCGAGACCTTGTCACTGCAGCTTTTCTACTACTGTTGAGAAACTGACGCATGGGAGAACGTTGCTCGACTACAACATCGGCTGGATGGCTGACGCGAAGAAAATATGCCATTCACTTCAGGACAGAGTAACATTTGCAACCA